TTATTATTATTATTATTATTATTATTATTATTATTATTATTATTATTATTATTATTATTATTATTATTATTAGAGAAAGCAGGGTTTGCATACTATTATATTTACTCTCCAACATTTGGTGCTCGGCCTCTTAACCTTTTCATATTCTGTTTGATATAAATGTGCTGTAGCAGAGTCAGGCTTGAGGATATAAAACCTAATGCATCAACTTGCCACTGGACCTACAGAGTACATGTTAGTCCTTACGTTGAGCCTGGAGAAACAGGATTCATTAGCAAACAGCTGATGTCCCAGGAGGCAGTAGTAGAAGATACAAAGATACTCTAATTAGCCAGATTGCAGAATCCACTCAGTGAACTGACAGCTTTTCCTCAACGCTGTAACATTCTTTATCACAACGGCTGCAATTTCTTAGATCACTGTTATGTGGGTGGTAGCATGAGGTGTTGTTGTAATTTCTGGGTATTTGCCTTTGTTATGCAAAATACACAGTGTGTGGATTGTACCAGGCACACTCGCTTTCATTTGAAACACCTGCACTGTATCTAAATGTAAATATAAATCTATATTTGAAATGCATGGTTAAGTGCAACAGAAAAAAATCAAATGAAATCAAGGATAAACCAATGCTAATGGAAAACAAGAAGAGGCTGTATAACACTAATGTATCACAGTATATTACAATAATGCTCAGTACATGTTGTTTGCTGTGCTGCATTTGGACTGAGATAATCTTGCATTTGCAGCACAACCACATTAGGGACAAGCCATGAATAAATCAGAAAGCCTTTAACAGACTGAATGTAAACTTGGGCTTGTAATGTGTCTAAATTCCAGTACCAGTCAGTCTACCGATATATTCACATCCCCTGCTGAGGTTGAATTTGTTTTGGAGAGACTTGCAGGGGAAGCTGTGAGTCATACCAGCCCTGTGTCTGACTTTGTCACAGACTGCTAACCTTCACTGCCGTGCTGAAGATAATTGCATTACTGTTATGGAGAGATAAGGCCAAACTGCTATTTTAAGTATTTGAATGACTGCGTGTTTTGATTACCAAAGCAGCTCGAATGTTCATGGCTGTCTTTTCCAATGTTGCTTACATGTCTTTCATTAGGAATGTCATGTTGCTTTGTTTAAAGTGCTTACTCACTTGTTCAGCACCAAATATCAAGTTTATTATGTTACAAGAGGAAAAAGAGGGGGACAATAGTGTATCTATTTTAGTATGAGTGACATTGTTTATTGTAACTTTAACTCTCCGCCATTATTGTCTGTGCCATTAAAGTTATTACCGATGGGACTAGATAACCTTGCATATGACATTGCAGGTGAAAATATAAACAAGTCATCCTCACAATAGTTTTAATATTGGTCTGGCCAAGCACAACCCTACAGCTTGTTTGTGGAGAGATTAAATAAGAACAAAAAAGAAAGCTTTAAAACCCATTGCTTTCAAAGTCCTTAGAGAGCATTACAGTTGCCATAAACTGACCCTTTTTTCCTAGTAATGAGGGCAACAGCGGTTTGCCTTCCAGATACAAGTGCATTTATCATAAAATCATTTGTGACATCTTAATTACACACGGGTGATTTCCATTAAGCGAAAACAACTGACTGCACCGCTGATGAGATTTGTCATTTTTCTTGACAGGCTGTTCTTGTCATAAAGCCAATTATATTTAGAGTAATTTAATGGTGTGAAATAATAAAATGAAAGTTGAATGAGGTATTGATTGAAGTAGTATTATTAGGTTTCCACAATGTTAATTTTCAAAAATCATTAGTCAAATTTCCTCTATATTATGTACCATAATGTTGATAATTGGCACTTGACAATACAAATCTAAATGCGATCTTTTAACACTGTTGCAGGTTTTGTGAATCCCCTACAAGTGATCTGGAGATGAGGAATGGTCGCGGTCGGGGTAAACGAATGAGACCGAATAGCAACACTCCTCTCAACGAAAACAGCAACTCATCAGACAGCAAGGGCACCACCAATAATAAGACACGCGCAGCCTCTAACAGCAAGGGTCGGAGGGGCAGTCAGACACCATCAGAGCGCCGTACCCCACCAAACAGCAACACCGAGGACATCAAGGCCAGTCCCTCTTCAGCCGGAAAACGAAAGACCAAGCCAACCTCAGACATGGAACCCAATTCCAGTTCAGAGGACACAAAAGGCAACAAACGCATGCGGACAAATTCCAACAGTGGAGGGGTGGGACCTACAGGCCTTCCTATCCCTTCTATTAAGACTGAGCCACTTCCACCTCCCCTCGATCGTAGCTGCCCTTCCCCTGTTCTTATTGACTGCCCACACCCTAACTGCAACAAAAAGTACAAGCACATTAACGGTCTCAAGTACCACCAAGCCCGCGCTCACAATGATGATGACATTAAGTTGGACTTAGATGGTGACAGCGAATATGGGGAGGACTCAACTCTCCATCCTGAACCAGGTAACTGTAATGGAGCATCTATCTCTCAGAAAGGATGCCTGTCTCCAGCACGTTCAGCCACTCCAAAAGGCAGGAACTTTGATGCTCAAAGTCCTTCTCCATCTCCTGGCAAGTTTGGTTCAAAGCAGAGTAAAAAGAAAATTGCTGAAACGGATGCTGAAACAGGCGGTACACCGATGGATGGGTGTGAGGATGGGCCTTGCCTCACAGATGAGGCTAGTAACGATGGTATAGATGATAAGAGAGGATCGGAGAAGTCTAAAAAGGCTAACACAAGTGCAAAAACAGATAAGAAAAACTTGAAGTCACCACGGCCAATTGGCCCTGGCCCAACAGCAACCCAGCAGATTTACTCTTTTCCTCCTGGAAACCCAAATTCTTCCCCGGGGCTTACCCAAATGATGCAAGGAATCCCTAAGAGTCCCCAAATGAAAGGCACACAGCCTAAGCCCCCTGCCATTGGAGATCCTGCCTCCAGTAGCTCCAAAGACAAGAAGAAGAAAGACAAAAAGAAAAAAGATGGTGGAAAGGAAGCTGATAGCCCCAAGCCTCCAGGAAAGGGAGGAAAACTGGAGGAAGGAAAGCTTCCGTACTCAGAGCCTTGCGATCAGGGGAGTAAGGGGGAAGGGCTTCTTAACGGCTCGTCAGAAACTCATCAAAGTCGCTTGGCCAGTATAAAGGCTGAAGCTGACAAGATTTACAGCTTTTCTGACAACGCCCCAAGCCCATCCATTGGTGTTGCCAGTCGAATAGATGGTAGTGGGATTCCACAGACTCTCACGCCACTTCACGTAGTGAACCAGAATGGTGCTGACAACTCTTCAGTCAAAACCAACAGCCCAGCATATTCAGACATTTCAGATGCTGGTGAAGATGGTGAAGGGAAACTAGAAGCTGTTAAAGTCAGGACAGAGGACCAAGCCATCAGGGAAAGTGTCAAAAAGGCACTGTTTCCAAATCAGACACCCAACAAAGATTCTCCTTACTATCCTGGGTATGACACTTATTACTCACCCAATTATGTCAACCCCAGTCCTGGTGGGCCCAATCCAGGTACAACAGCTGCCGAAGGTCAGGTAAAGATTAAAAGGGATGATGAGCAGGATCAAGTTGAGGAAAAAGTCAAGGTTGAGGTTCATGAAGATCGCAAACCTGACAGCACTGCTCCTGCACAACAGCAGCAGCAACCCTCAGTCATCCAACAGCGATCTAACATGTACATGCAGCCTCTGTACTACAACCAGTATGCTTACGTCCCTCCGTACGCATACCATCCTGATCAAGCCTACCTGATGAGCACCAACCCAGCCTACCGGCAACCGTATGAGGAACGCCAGCGACAGATGGCTGAGCAGCATCGTGCTGCTGAGAAGAAGTCAGATGTGGCCATGAAAGAGCGAGAATCTTCCATGAAGGATGAGTGGAAACAAAAAAGCCTGATGCCGCCAAGCCTTTCCAAAACCCCAAGTCAGTCAGACCTTGGAAAGGCGCAGCAGCAACCAAACAAATCCAGGGATTCCCCCTCTGAGCCGACCTCCAAATCCGTGGGAACCATAAAGGGGGAGGACTCAAAGTCCCAACAACCAGAGGGACTAAAGATGAAGCTGACTGAAGGAGGTCACCATGGAAAGGAAGATCCCAAGCAAGCACTTGAATCCAGAGGTCAGGCAGGGCTGGAGCAGGCCATGTGGTTCAGACAGGTAAGTAGCAGTCCAGTTCAACAGTGCTACAATATGTTTGTAAAACTGTTTTGATAATGCTTTGTGAGGTATGCACCACTCTAGTATGGTGATAGTGATTTTAGATGACTTGGAGCTTCTTTTCTGCCCCTAGCAGTACCCTGAGAGCCAGAAGTCTCAAGCAGAAGATGAGCACCAGCAACAACATGCTCGATGGAAAGACCGGGAACATGATCGTAAATTGAAGGATGAAAGGCCCAGGCCCAAGGACAGTCAAAGTGGGCCCAAGGAGGACAGCAAAGAGAGCAGTGATCCCAGAATCACTTCTGAAGATCATCGTGCTATGAGCAAAGACTCTCGTTCTAATCCCCACATGCAGTTCTCATCACCACTAGCACAGCACCAAGGCTACATGCCCTACATGCATGGTTACCCCTACGGACAAGGCTATGACCCCAACCACCCTGGATACAGGGGAATGCCTTCGGTCATGATGCAGAATTACCCAGGTATGACCTTGGATTTCTTCCAAATACAAGCAATTATGAAATGTAGCATGAAAAAATGAGAATTTTTGCTCGTTTACTTTGTGATAATGCAGTTTATGTAAAGATTGTTGGCTGAATCTGTGAGGGTTTCTGATTAGTTTATTCTTCTTCTTTTCCATCATAAAAACAGAACTTTTTGTGTTGTTTCACTGGTAATTGTGGTAATATTTAATAACTTCATGAAATAATTGCAGTCCTTTGGTACAGTTTGTTAGAAATGAAGCATGGCAATGGAGTCATTTTCAAGGCAATTACATGATTTAAGTCAAAGAATGATTCTACTCCCTAAGAGGCTATCAATAAAATTACATGTGTTGAAAATGGTGTAGAGTGGGGAAAAATTGCATTCACTTGATTTTGCAGGATTGCATGCACTTATAAATACTAGTAGCATGGTTGAATTTGTGTTAATCCACACATTCCTGGAGGATCTGATGTAAATAGCCCAAATATTAGTCTTTATGTAGAGTAAATAAGAGTAGTGTTTTTATACCAACCTGGATGTCAGTGAAGAATACGGATGAGAATTGAAAAGAATTTAGCGATTCTGATTCTATTATTGATTGTCTTTTGGGTTCTCATTGCTCTGTTTTTAGAGTCGCCACCAAAATTACATTCATGCAAATGTATTGCATGCTGTGGGTCAAATGTTTGTGCGTTTTTGTTGAAGCTTTTACCCTCATTGCTGTGATCAGTGTTGGAGTCGTGACTCAAAGTCATTATTACATTTTATTTCTTAAAAGTAATGCACTACATTACTTAATTACTCCCAGAGAAAAAGTAATTTGTTATACTATCCGTTACATTACTTTAATGTCACTCTGTAAAATAGTTGAAACCCACCGTTTTATAATCACCATTTAACAAAATAAACCTGAGGCTACAACCCCACACACCAATGAGAACATGGACCTCTAAGACCTTTCTCTTAGTAAAAAAACAAAGCTGACCGCACAAAGCACAGAGGAAAACCAGCACAAAAAGCAATCACCGCACTGATTCTGCTTTGGCAAGTGCAAGAACCAATAACTGGGATCGATAGGGAATAGCCAGACTAACAATTCCAAGGAATTGGTCTACTGAGAACTAGTTTTCTATGAAAACCGGTTCTCGATTCCCATCCCTAGTGAAGAGATATGTGAGCTGTGCAACTAAGTGGTTAGTTACCAATGTGTAACTATTGCATTGTAATCTTAACAGTATTTATCTTAATTTTGTATTCCATATAAACCTGAATATGTGGATCACTAATCTTCTTTGTCACTCTCAGGTTCTTATCTACCTGGAGGTTATCCCTTTTCCCCATATGGGAGTAAAATTGCCGGAACCGAGGAAGGCAGTGACAAATCTCGTGCTAGCCCTACTGTCACCAAAACGGCAACAGACTCGAAAGCCCTGGACAACCTACATCTGCATACCAGCCAGTACAAGAGCAAATCGCCCACAGTAGGTGACAAGCCACCCCACGACAGGGAAAGAGAGCAGGACAGGGGAGCTTCGGGAGACAGGGATCGGGAGAGGGAGCGAGATGTGGACCGACCGCGATCCTCACCCTCCCAGCGGATCATGCCCTCTCACCACCACCTGGGATATCCCCTGCAATATGACCTGTCCTACGCCACAGGTAAATCAGTCATCCCATTTCACTGTAGATACAATGTTCACTTCTTTCAGATGCAGCAGACTGTTAGAGTAAATTAAACATGTGACCATCGGGTCTTCTAAAAACGAGCATAAGAAGGAAATATACTTTAACTGCTTGTCAGCCATCAAGCAGCAACCCCTTCCTTGTACCCACCACCAGCAACCGACAGGGAGGCAAAACACAAGCCTACCGAGAGCAGCATTTTCAAACAAATGCAGGTGGCAGATAATGTGCGTCACACAGCAGCTCATCTTAAAAAAACTCAGGCAGCAAGTTAGGAGTACGTGCAGAGATGTAGAATGTCATTTAAAAGTAAAACTGTATGTTTCTTTGTCATGGCTTTATATGTCATGGCTTCCAGAAAGATGCAGCAACCTGTAAAAAAAACAAAAAAACAAAGCCCTCACTTCTCTGTTGCAATCTAGTCAAATATGCAGCACTTTTAGCCTCTCAGCTCATCCATTCCTAAGTAGGTCCTCTGAGGACAACTGGATCATGGTGTTGATAATAGAGATGTTGAATGAGCCCAAGACACAAGTCCACTGCAGACTGCACTGACATCTAGTGGCAGCTCAGTCAAATTACTGTGAATTTGACAAATGCCTCTGTTCTTCCATTGCAAATGCGTTGCCTGTATTAACATTAATTAAGTACAGTTTTAACAAAAAGTTTTGATGTTAAATGTTTGTATCAAGCTTCTTTAGGATGGAGTCACTGTTAAATTGTATCACATTAACTCATAAGTGTTTCTACTATTTTGTCCACCTCACTTATATAAATAAGATACCTAATGAATAATGCACCAGAGTTAAACAGCACCACAAATTACAGCCTTTGTGATCAGCAAAACCTCAAGTAGAACTGAGTTACAGATGCGTGTAAAGTATTTTCTCCACACACTTTTGTTTTTTTATTGAAATATGTGTAAATAAATAATTCTTTTCTTTGTATCCTTCACAGGAAAACCTGACCGTCACACCTCAACCCTGCAAAGATTCATATGACTGGATCACATGAGAACAAGATCTCCCGGGTGTTACCTTTTAGACATCAGTTGAATGGTGTTTCTATCTATATTTTTTAGTTCTTCTGTCCCAAGGAAAGGCAGACTGTTGTTGCTGTTGTTGTTGTTTTTTTTCTCCCTCCCCCTCCTCTCGTTAAAGACCCCAAATTCTCCAAACCTTGGTCTGTACCAGAACTGATAATATAACCCAGGTTCAAAGCCATCACTCTGCCCTGTCACGCAGAGGAAACACCAACCCGCTGATTATCTAGTCTTTGCACTGTCAACAAATGCAATGCAAAAAGAGACTATTGGACTGCCAGAACAGCTTTTTGTTGTTGTTTTTTGTTGTTGTTGTATTTTTCTCCTTGGACTGCATTGTTTCTTGTTTTGTTCTTGTTTTCTTTTTTTTTGTCACATGCAGAAAGAAATTGGCAGGTGATTTTAGGAAGTTGGGTGGCTGATGGGAAAGAGGGGTCAAACTAAATTAAAGACTGTTTAAAAAGAAAAGAAGAAAAAAAGAAAAATGATTTAACGTTGAAATTGTTTTCAACTCTGTCTTTGGCTTCTCGTATGCCATGAAACAACAGTATATCCTTAACTTGACAAATTGTTGGCTATATTTCGTGGGGAGAGGGAATATGGCAGAAGCTGCTTTCATCAGAGACTTGAGAGCCTGAGACTGAAGTTTTTGTTTTTTTGTTTTCAACTTTCCATCATCGTTTCCCCATCCTCCTCGAACCCTCACGTCGTGTTTCAGGGATGATGTCGTCACGTTCTGCGAAGGGACCGCGTACACCTCAACGGAGAATAAACACTATTCATGTTTCCTTCACTTCTGCTCCATATCATTGCGCTCATCTTCGAATGTGTCTGATGCTGGTATCGGTCCCGTCATCTTTTCCTCACACCGCAAAGGGGTCGCCTCCGTTTTTGCCACTCACTCAAACAGTGAAGCCACATTAGCGAGCAATCCGTTCACGGGACGCTCCGTCGTCACGCTCATCGGGCTGCTGGTGTGTGTTCTGGTGTTTTTGGTTTTTTTTGTTTTACTGTAAGATTGTGCTTCTTCAAGCTTGTCAAGTTTTGATTGTTTCCTGTAAACAATGTGAAAGTTCACCCATGTATTTTTCTGCTGTAATATAGACTTTTATCCTACTTTTATGTGCATAAATGTTTATATTTATCCCAGCACGCAACTGCTTAAAAAACTGTTAAATAGCTTTCACTGCTGCGTTTACCATTATGCGCTCAGATGGTCACTGTTGCTGTGGAGTTCCTGAACGTCTTGTGTGCTTCTTTATTTCCCCCACAGGCTTTGCTTGACCTTAAACTTGGTTCACATCTCCACTCATCCTAACCGAGCAATGCGCAGGTTGATTCATTGTAGACTTCTGAATTGCTGTCTTCCAGCTCCAAAAACAACAGTTCACAAGTTATTTCCGGGACTTCTTCAAATTTGGCCGCTCTCCCCTTCAAGGTCATTCCCTGGTGCACTTCTGGGCTGCTTTCTGCAATGCTTCTGATTTTACAACATTTAACATTAGGACACCATGAATTCCTGTCTCAGTAAGGAGTTCGACTGTAACATGCTGAGGTGGAAATAGCATAACCTGCTCTGGCACCCAGTGCAATCCCTTGTTGAGAAGATTTGGCTCCCTGCAGCTTTTTCTACTTCCCCCAAAATAAAAATCAAGTCAAAGGGTGACTATTTTAACACATCGGTGAAGACGGCACGGGCACAAGTCTGAGCAGGAAATAAAGAAATGAATAAAAAGCAGCCATGCTAAAAGCCCTGCAGTGCTGTACAACAACATGACCTTGACGGGGAGATCAGGCAGAGTTTCACAGGTGAAGTCTTCAAACTCTGTGGTTGTACGTTGCAGTGACAACAAACTGGAACAAAATCAAATGTCATTTTTAAGTTAATATCCAGTGTGAAAAGGCTTAAAATTTCTCTTGGTGCTTCGCTTGCTCATGTGGCTTCACCTTAACACACATCCACCTCAGATTCTTTTTTAGCTTGTGTGTATATATACACACACACACACGGTTTTTTGTTTTGTTTTTTTAACTAGCAGCTAGCTTTGGATTAGTCTAAAAGTGAGCAAATGAGTCTGATGCCTCAGACAGCAGTTTTAATTGTTACGTTGTTGCCTATGCTGGAAGGTCAGTTTATTAGCACATTAAACAGAAGAAAACTATTAAAAAATCCAGCTGTTACTCTTACAAGCATGAACCAATCAGATGTTCCACAAAACAAAACCAGAAGTGTGAGCCAGTCAAAATGTGGAGCAACACGAACATCGTAAACTAAAGCGAAACGGGAGTCGGGAGGCTCAAAGCTGCCCAATGAGCTCTCTGCTTTCCTTTCAACCTCTTAACATGTGGTCCCCTTTGTTTCTTCTTCTTCTTCTTTTTAATTTGCAGACGTGTCCTCTTGTACCAGAGTTCCCTCTTGGTTTTATAGTACAGTTCTCTTATACCTCAGGGGTTGTAAGTGAAATTCTATACACATGCTACTTGCATAGATTTGAGAGGGATTCGGTTTCTCTGTGTTGGGGGAGGGGCACATTATCCACTCTAGGCTGGATTTGATGTGCTGGTTCATTCAGGATAGGGCATTGTTAAAGGTTCAATGTGGGCTGTGGCTTATGAGCAGTCTTAATGTTCCTCTAAAGGATTATAATCTGAGTGGAATATTGACCATGTTGTCATTAAATTTAATTTTATTGATTTTTTTCTTCCTATTTTTTTTGGGGGGGGGGGGGTCTATACTTTTAATGTTCCTATTGTTGTCGTTTCTGTTTCTCTCAGTAAATACTCTACATGGTCAAATCCCTAAACCACCAGTTAGCGTTGTGTCTAACACCCTCTGACGTCGGATGTTAGCTGCTTGTTGAGACACTATTCAGTTACCAAACTGCATCACTTCATTCTGAGGTTCTTGGACATTCCAAGTAAATAAGTTGCCAGTGCCCCGTCTAATGGAGGCTTGCGAGGACGGTATATATTTTGACTTTTTACGCATTTTCAAGAAGAATGGCTGACATGAGTAAGCTGAATGTGGTGGTGTTTGACGTGTACTTAAATCTGTAAGGGTAATCTAGGCAGCTGTGATGTTGTCATTAAAAGTCAGTGGGTTTTTAGTACCAGCAGGCTGCATACAGTACATATAGTTTTATCAAACAATGGTTGTGACAAGTGCATTTGTTCTCTCTCTGAGAGTAGTAATGTTATCTCAGTAGTAAGCAAAGCCCAGTGAAAATCATATATACTAAAGTGTATGAAAAAGCCAGAAAAGTAATGTTTTGCTATCAACATATTGGAAAGTGCTTGGCTCTTGTATTTTGCAGGACTGTATTTGTTTCATGGTGAAGAGTATATTTATTGGCCAGCAGTTGTCTCAATTGGTGCCTAGTTGAACATTCTCCTGTGAAAATGCAGAGACACTCGCTCGTTTGTCCTTTCCCGACCCCGCCCACTGTCACGCAAACCGCCGCCAACCCGAACCCCATTCCCACACACCCCTTTTCCCAAAAGTACCACTTCTGGTGCTTGCAAGGATGTTTACAATGTCTTCATTTTCTTTCTGTGTGAGAAATTCAGATCTCTGTCCCCTCTCCTCATTTCTCCCTCCCTTCAGGAGTTTGTGTAAAGTGTACATTACCATGGTTCTTTTTTATACAATACTCTGTAACTTGCCTTTGTAAATTTGGGCTGGAAAAAAATAAATCTTTTTATGAGACAATCTGTCTTGGGAACTGTTTAATGGCTCATGCTTGGTGGGTGCTGTAGTTTTAAGCTGATAATACAGTTAAAATGGTTTTGTATTTATTGTTTACCGCCCAGGGACAAGGTTGACTGTAACGCAGCGTTCCAGCAAAATTCCTTTTCAACCTTGAAAGTCACATCATCGGAACAGGTTTCCTTTTGTCATTTTTACCAAGTCTTATTTCAGATGAGAGTCAACCCAATAGGTCATGTAATATTTATATCCCATCACAAAACACAGAAAGTCCCCAGCATGTGTATGGCAAGTGTTTGAATTTGCACGTAAATTGATTTTCCCATCCTGGGAGAAAGAAGTCTAAAAGTCTGAAAAACCTCTTAGCCTGCAGAAACTGCACCATGGCACACAGCCACATGAGTGCAGTGTCTCTAAAGAGACCACAGTCTGTCTCAGTGGGATCAAATGTCAGATTTTTGCCTCTTTCTGAGTTTTACAGCTGACTCGCTTGCACTGCATGCTTGAGGAGCATACATACATTTAACTGGAATATATGTTATGCTCCTCTGGGAAACACTTGCAAGCTGTCAACAGTTGAGTCTGTTGAGAGCGTCACTTTGCATATGTGCACACGGTGCTCAAACTTTATCTGCATCTGGTGCGACATCCATTCGTATCGGGCAGTTGGGATATTTTTAGCTGCCCCTAATGCCCCTGAACTGACAGTACACTCTATGCAATAGCATAATGCAACATCAGTGACAGAGAGTGATTAGGCCGGGGATGATTTTGGTGAGTGTAAATGTGAAATCTGATTATCCTCCATGCTCTCAGCTCTGCAGAGGGAGGAGGGCTGGAACTAGAGAGAGTGAGGCTGGAGGAGAGATTCAGAGGGAAGGAGGGGTTAAGTTACCAATGTGCTGAGCCAATGGCTTTTCCACAGAGCAGCTGGCTGGCATCAGGGCAGGACAGGCCGCTCAGAGGAAGGATACCTTGAGGACGACTCACACCCGCTAACTGTAGGACATTAAAGGTGACTTCTAGGAGGTGTTCATGGGATGCACTATCTACGCAGCCAGCCCTAAGGCCCTGCCAGCCGACGAGGCCCCAGGCCAGGACAGATACTATCCGGTCCCCCACTACCGCCACCCTCATGGTAACTGCAGTCAGAGGATAGCAGCCAGCAGAGCCAGGTCAGTGAACAGCACACAGGAAGTGTTTTTAGGATGGTTACACATTCAAGAACGCATCCCATCCATGCATACATTACAAAAAGAAAAAAAAGATCACTGTTTTAAACAGCAGTAGGAAATCAGTTTTCAATTTAAGTGTTTTTGCTTCTGCTTTGAAACATGAATGGCAGAGGAGAAGGATGGTCCGAATACAGTGATGAACACGTCGTGTCTCACGTTGAATCCAGCTTGAATATTCTCGTTGAAACGTGTTCAGTCACACATCGGTTTCCTCTGAAACTCTGACAATGAGAAGCAGGGATGAAGGGATCACCACAAATGTGTCAGCAGTTCAAGTTATGACATGTCTATGATAAGTCAATTAGTCATCACTGACACCACAAAATGTGTGATTCAGGGTTTATTTGTGCGGCACTGTCAACTTAAAACGACCCAACTCGGTAGCAGTGTTTGGACTGCGATTTCAAAAGTTAAACTCCTCAGTGCAACATCCTCTCTGGAAAGTGTCTCAGTTTGACCTTAGAGCTCGGACTCAGAGCACTTAATGCACACAGACAGCTTGATGCTTGAACCTTTACTGTTTGTACATGTGCACAGAAAGACGAGGGACAGCAGCTAAACCCCTTCAAACATCCTTAAACGATTCTCCTTTAAATCTTCCACTTGATGGTTTTGCACCAGATGACACATTTGTTGCTTCCATATGAGTGTAAAACATCTGCAATGTTTTTACATGTCAGTTATTGGTCGTTTACTATGAATGTAAGTCTGAAACAGCAGTCTGATCAATTGCAGACGATACAATGATACGCTGAATAATCTTTACAAAGTTATTTAAAAATACTTCTGAGATGTAATTATCTTTTTATTTTATTCCATGGATAACGTGGCCAATAACTAAGAGCTGAGACATTGCCTCTGAGTAACGCTTTATAATGACATTATACACTTTTAAACTCCTCAGCTGGAAACGGAAACATGTTGTTAACGTATAAAAGATAGAATGAAAGCCACGACCCCTCCCCCAGTTCAACAAAAACAAGCTAACTAGTTTGATCTTTTACGTCATGTTTTTAATTTCCGTTATCTCTGCACGTGCAAATGAACGAGCCGCGCTGTTCTGAGCGTCTGCGAGGGGAAAAAATAGCCACCGTGTAATCCCCCGGCTGCTGTAAACAGTTAGCTAATAGGTAAGCTCAACCCACCTCACACTCGGACTCACTTGTGAAGACGCTGCAGCTCAGCCCTATTTCCCTGCTTAAGCTTTAATTATTGTGGCGGGAAACTGGGTGTTTTTGTTAGTTTGTCGTGGAAAAGCATAAAATAAAAAAATGAATTTGACGAGAAACACCACTAAGACCTGAAGAATTTAGTCGAGCTACTGGAAAACAACAGAGGAAAAAGCGACAGCAGCCTCTGAGCTACAGGTAGGAAACCTTATGTAAATCAAGCTAGCGAGAAAAAAACAGCAATGCTTCCGGAAATGACTTTTTAAAAAAAAAAAAAATGCACCCGTGATGCCTTTAGGGATTTACTGAGGAATTTAGAGATGTCGATGGTCTGTATGAATAGTTGCTGGTCGTGGAGTTTACCAAAATTTACTTTTTTTGTTGTGTTTTAGTGCCCCTTATAGCCTACTGCATGTCTATTTGTATTCTAAATTTGAACGCTTTCTGCTTTTATTTTGAAGGGCCCGGTTATTCAGATATTGTCTTGTTTAGCTTCACGTCGTTGCTGCTTTCGGGAATACTGTAAAAGCGGCGTTTATTCCAAGTCAGGCGCTGAACATGCGGATATACTTCACGAATATAATGTGAAATCCTTGAAGTAGCCACTGAAATTGAAAAATATAAGTAAAATATGAAGTTATTTTCAAAACGTGTTTACAAGCCCATAATCATCATGTTTATTACTACTAAAACTGAAGGTGCTAGTGGCCTATCGATTTGCCACGACATACCTACACTAAACAAATAAATTATTAAATGGGCTACTAACTAGAAGTAACTAGAAACCTTTCAACAAAGCTATTAATTTCCCCTTCCTCCTCTAATCCCATTAAACCAATCACTCTGCTCCATTAAGTCTTAGGTAAGATGGACTTTTGAAGGGTTGTACTGCTTTAAAAACATACTTCTGTCATCAAAGGTTGTTTTGAGGTACTTGCACAATGGGGAGGGTTTCTTTTTTCTTTGTCTGGTCTCAAGCAGTGCAGGCCAGAGTCCAAAGGCTGTACATGTGTTTCATAGACGCACTGATTCAAGGACACAAAGAAAACGAAAGAAAATAATAATTATCCCGTGCCATGTGATGCACCAAAGCTCTGCAAACAAATATCCCTTGGGTTAGCGTTTTTCATGAGTAAACTCTTGGTTGACTTGCTGTACATGAGAGAAAGCTCCTGCTGGCAGCTTCAATGTCCCTATAAGAGGAAGTCACCTTCAGCGTTTGTAGACACATTAAACCTTTTCTCCTGCATATCCACTGTAAACAACCCAGATGGTTTATTACTGACGCATCTAATCAGAGACAAAGTTCTTGGTTTAGTAGCCTCAAAGCCTCAAGGAAGCGAGAGGTGGAGAGAGCGCAGGGACGACCTCGGTGATGAGCAACCTTAACAAGATTAGAGTTTATTGGATTGAGGGATGTCTTGTGACAGCAAAAAATGTCCAGACACAAAGAAGGACATGGAAGAGGAGAGGTGAAGAGAAGAATGGCTTTCAACTGAAAAACATTCATGCAAGAAACAAAGAAAGTGAGACAGAAGGAATGAAAGTTGGCCTAAAGAAAGGCCAAAGGTTAGAAGAGACCCCAACCTTTAGTTTATACATGTGTGTATTGTCTTTATGAGCACTGGCGTAAGATGATAGGTGGGACGCTGCTTTGTTAGCTAAGTTTGAGGCTCAGTGTGTTTAATGAATGGGCCATGTATTGTTTGGCCTCATAATCGTGGTACAAACTCTAAGTTACAGCAGCGTTGACTCCCTGCCCAGCTCCAACAGCAGACTGAAGTATTCATCACAATGCATCACCCTGTTTTGTTGAGAAAAATGCAAAACTTATACTGTTGGAATATTTAGCCAGCTCTGTATTAATTATGTATTCATTCGTGGCTCCATGGGGACATCCAGCCATCTTTGTGGAGGCAGAGCACGGGTAGAAGAGGAAGCCTGTTAAATCATTTTATATGAACTGATTCTTATCTGAACCGCGTCATATAAAACTGAAAAGCAGCAAATTCGCTTTGTCATTATCTCATGAATTATGAGCTTTGAGAGCGTGTTCCTTCACATAAACAGACTACGTATTGAACTTTCTCATCAAAAACAGGAAGGATTCATTATCAGATAGCTTCGAATGATGCTCCTAGTCTTGAAATACTGTGACAGAGCTCACCAGGCTGCTTCTTTTTTCCAGCAGCATTGGAGTTCAACATAATGAATGAGTGTCTCACCTCTTATTTACCTAAGAAACTGGTCAGCCTGGTATATTTTGTTTCAGTTTGCTCTCCTGGATGACATGAACAGTCCAACTTTAATCAGAGGTTTAAGTGCGGGCAATAATTTTCCAGACAGACATGCTAATATAGCCAGATGACTGTGAGAAAATCACAGGTTGTGGTGTATTTGACGCAGCATTCATCGTCTACTTCCAGGAAACCCACTCAGACTAAATAAAACCTATTTTAGATGGCCTAAACATCCTCACGGTCAAACTCACAGCGATATAAAGTTGGTTTATCTCAGGGCTGTTTGTCTTGGTCATTATGATGCATTTCTATAGATGTTTTATACAATGTCTAGACTGTAAGCCCGCAGCTTGTGAATGAGTTAAAGTCTTACCTCATGTGAAAAGCAAATGTGAAAAAGAATTGCAGCTGTTAGGTAAAAGGTCCATTTATCTATGTATCCACCGAGTCAAGTTTATCTCTTTGCAAGCTGATTTTCAAACTACAGCAAAATGAATGGAAACAATAACAGTGTGTATTTCTTTTCAAATTAGGCCAAATAATATATAAAAACATTTAAATAAAGATGCAGAAACCTTCACTTTTTGCATTAAACTTCTTTGGGTTTTCACACCACCGTATCTCTTTGGAGTAACATTTACCCATATTTTGTAAAAAGCCTCTGTTCTGCAAATGCACAAGTCTCACACATTGGTTTTTTTCTTTTTAATTATTAAAATAAACACTGTTAAGTAAGCACTAATTCAAGTCCTTTATATGTTGATTCTGAAGAGGAAAAAGTGTACAAAAAGAAGTGAGCTTTATGCAAATTCACGGTAATACAGCATCTGGGATCAAATACTGCTCCTGAATCCTTTAAACTCTGCTTACGAAGTGAAGACCCCACATATCCTATACTTATGTATTCAGCCTTTCACCTCCCATTTAGTCCTCTGTGATCACAGACAACAAGTCAGATGTAACCTCAAGCACCAGACAGACAGCTATTGTTTGAACAGGTCAGCGGCTGACGCAAAACTTCTGCCTTCTGGCCAATTAGAGATAATATACTGGAAACTGCATGCAGGAGCCATATCCATCAGCACCTGTAATTAAACCAGAGCAGGTGGTAAAGACTTCCCCTCTCCCAGAGGTATAGCACAGGGCAAGCATGTGTTTGTGTGTGCATGTGTGAAAAAAAAGATGTGCAGGTGAGGGAGGAAACAAAATAGATGGGCTAGAGCTTTTCAGGTGAAGCTGTTATGTAGTAAAAGCACAAACACTACAAGGGTAAAACCTTTTTTTGTGTACCCAAAGACTACCAGACAGACTGTGGACTACTAGGACAATTCAAAAATTAATTACAATTTTATTTAAAAATATATCCAAATTGGGGAAAAAAGGAAGTGAACACATTTCAAATGAATGTGATGTTGAACTTTGAGGCAAAGCAAACTGCAATCAAAATGAGTGAGATATAGTTACAGAGTTGGTGGGAATGAGAGCAAGGCAGTGCTGAAATTTCAAATTATACAATAGGTGTATAAAATAGGTGGGGGAATACATAAACACCCATTTCGACAAATATATATGTAAAGGTATATTAAAAAAATTATGATTCTACAATTATGCTGGTCATAGATAGACATAGGAACCTAGTGAATGCACAAACTGGAAAAAAGTCAAACATAAAGGATAAAAAGTATTAATAAATGAAAGCTAAAATCTTTAAAAGTAACTAAAAGGTAAAATTTGTAGCTAAAAGTAGACCACTGACTTAATAGAAAGGATTAACAAATAAGCGGTGTCAGCTAAAAGTAGACAAATGTTAGGAGACAAACTATTGTGTGAATGCCTTTCAGCATTCACACAATTACGTTAGAGGCTGACGTAGCTCCCATGAAGCCATCCACTGGTTTCTGAAGTCCCACGCTGGAGCTGTAAGAAGGTTTTCACAGAAAAATACATTTGAAAAGATGCGCAGACTATGAAACCGCTAGTGGGGTTGTGAATTCCCCCACTGTACGACCAGGTTTTCACAAACCAGACATCATTTTTCATTCAATGTGATCCAAAATGAGTGACTGAGCCCATTAATTCAGGAGGAAAGTGTTTATCAAGGTCAAATCAGAAAGTTGTTTTCCTGTACACTTCTATGGGTCCGCAAGTCCACAGCAATTGCCATCTGGTGGTCTTCAGATAAAATGTAGGTTAAAGGCACTAATGCATTTTCTTAATTTGTCAGACCTCGAAGCTACTTCCATGTTTTATAGTGTCTATGGAAGTAATGTTTAGCTGAAAGTCAGAGATAATCACAGTCAGAACTGCTAACTGCTAAGGACTGTTATACTGTTTTGTTAACACCTATTTAAAATACTGGATAAACCCTTGGACTAGATGAAAGCCACTAGATGCTACTTTAAGTAGATTGCACCCTCAGTCACATGGTAGCTGCACATGTTTGATTTAGCAGTTTTTAATGCTAGAGGCCCTTCCTGACACAAAGCCTTGCAAGATGCAACCCCCCCCCCCCCCCCCCCAAAAAAAAAAAAAAAACAGATTAACAAATCAAACTGTGAACCACTTAAAGTCCGTAGTTTTAAAAGGTTGGGAAATATTTAACAGGTGAAGTCAACCAGATATGTGCAACAGATTTAAAGTTGAAATTGTAACTAAAAAGATTACATATGCAGGTAAGCATATAACAGCTGAAAGTTGATCAGACATTTTACTAAAAAGTTCTCTTTGTATGAACAGTTGTGTTAAATACCATGCAGCATCAAATGAAATATTACAGGTCACACTTTTTAAGGGTACTTATTCATCTCAAAATGCTGTGACGAATGAAGTTTTTCTAGTTTATTTTAAGTGGTCTGATGAATCATCTATATTCATTTGCCTTTGGAGCCTCATTATAGATGGAGATTGTGAGGCGTGTTTGATTGTTTAAAGCCATTTGCTGCCATCTATTCTGAACTGCGTGCACACCAATCTCAACGAGCCGTTAAAATGACTCGAGCCTCATTATACATCACAGTAAACACTGAGCTGAGATTTGGTTCTCTCAGCATTTCTGCTGAATCCACGCTTTACCGAGCCTGGTGTGAATCACGCTTTGCCCGGCTTGCTGTCAATCACAGCCTGCGAGGAGATATTGTTCTGAGCAGCTCACGCACAACCAATGGTCATATTCATGGCTTCTTCTTCTCCTTTTCTCATCCGAGGAAAATTAATTTCACGTCGCACGTGGCGCTGAAAAGTGTATAAAGTGTATTTTTAAAAATGTTTGAGTCAGCTCACAGCAGCAGATCAGGTCAGCCATCTGCACAACCTCTGGGGTGCTCTGCTTCATTGTAGACATCTGGGAGAGGGTACAAACTGACCCAGTTTACACAAGCACACAGATTTATTTCGCTAAGTAGATATTTTTAATGTAGTGCCAGTGAGCTGCGTCAGACTTTGAATGTTGCATCACCTCTGTGTTGATTTTGAAGACAGAGTCCACTTGTTTGGCCCATAAAGCTTTTGGGAATAGCTCACTTTAAAGTCAAACACGGAGGCAAAAACAAACCATTTCTTTTACACGTCTACATGGAGATCGAGCAGAGAGGTTACCCGCTGTTAACACAGAGCTGTGTGTTTGTGTATCCAGGGCCAGGAGCATGACTGAGCAGCAGGAGCAGAGTGAAGAAATAGGCCTGCTTTCAACGCAGGACCTGGACCCCTCCAAGGACGACGACACACACGGCCACTTCAGGCAAAGCTTGCACACACAAACACACGCTGCTCCGCCACACTCTTTCCATGTTTTTTTTTTTTCATCCCACACACCATCTGTATCCTGTGCACGGTCACGGGTGTCAGCCCTAGGAGATTTATTTTCACAGCACTTATTTTGTGCTTTTATTTCAGCTGTATTTGATGTCAAACAATGGTCAAACACGCACACATAAGGATAAAGAGACTGCAGACAGGATGTTTTTTCTCTTCTCCCTTTAGGGTCTTTAAGAAGATATATGTGCTTGGGAGGCATGCTATAGTTATACTCGTAATAAAGAGCTTTAATCTAATGCATCATGCTTTTTGTGAGTATTCATATGGACATGTGTGTGCGTGCATCTGCAGATATACTGCATGTGTGTGTTGGTGTGTTATATAAGAAGGATTGAAGGCAGGAGCAATGTAATCTCGGGGGAATCTGCTCTGGGATGGGATTTAGCCCTGAGGTACGGACTCAGGGACTTGAACACTTTATGCACGTTAGCTTAAACTTGTAGCACCTCAATGAGCGGTGCGTCTATATTCGATCCACTTCCTGTGTGTAGCTCACTTCAATGCAGCTCTGTTCCAGCATGCAAATATTTACAGACTGTTTCTAAAAGATAGACTTACGCCGTGGCTCTAAAGTAAAGCCAGTGCAGAAGAGTCTCTGACTTCTCAGAATTTATAGAAATGTATGAGAAAATGACCTGAATTCCCACTTCAATTAATACCTCAGTAGATACTAATGAGTTTATGAGCTCTGTTGCTGACTTTGAGACTTATTTAATACAACATGATATTAATTTAGTGAAACACAGTCCCATAAAGAATCAAATACTTGATAAAGCATGATTTTAGGCATGCCTACTTTTTGTTGTTGTTGTTGTTGTTGTTGTTTTGTTGTTAGTCCAACAGCTCTTTTGGTCTCAACTATAACTTTCATTTAGTGCCTAGCTCCGAGCCGTTAAATGTTCCACTATGTCGTGGTGCTAGACATTACCTGGTGTTTATCATTGTAAGTTGATTAAAAGTTAATAATAATTTAATGTAACTAAAGAAGGATACATTGAACATTCTGTAAAACCAAACGTTCAAAGGGGCTAAAAATCCACGAATTAGTAGATATTTACCCATCTAACCTCTTTTATTGTACAGAATCATTTGTTTGAATGCTCATACAGCTCATACAGATATATATTTTTAGTCATTTCAGTAATTGCTGCACCAGTAGTTTTTCTATTTCAGTTAAAATTAGCAAAAGCAAAAAAGGATTCAATTGAAAGCAAAGGATGAGTTATTTTATCATTTTATTACTGCACTATTGTAAAGCAGTGAGAATTCTTACTGATTGTAGTGTGCTCTACTGATTTCTGTGTGAAATATTTCAAATGAATGCAGATTTTTCTTTCTTTACTTTTCCCACTTGTGCGACCTTATTCATTTCCCACTCAGAACACTTTGATTTTAAACTCCCGATCATTCCTGTCTCGTCTCGTGGACACGTGTCATTTAGAGACGTATTCTCTCAGTGCTCCCAGTCCCAGTTTCCACTCCTCCAGCTAAATTATTGACTGCGAGTCCACTGCCACACTGGCCACCGATGGGAGGTGTTCGCCTTCTAATTTTAGGATTCAATTTAGGATTCTTTGAGCTTGTAATTAGTTTCACCATTTTGCCTCGCAGCCAAGGGCACTGTGACAGTCTAGTGCATGCATATACACACACGAACCCACGTGCCACAGGCAGCATTTTACTTTGTTTTTATTTCCAAACTTCAGAGGTGATGGTCGGGATCAGTCTTCTACCCCTGATCTATGAGAAAGTTGTTGCTGCTCAGTATATGTTGTGTGCAGGACAAATCCAACACATTTTGCTGCTGTTATTACTCTTTGTTTTTCCTGTATTCAGCACACACTGAACATTTGATGATTTCCTCCCGAGCCTGTGCATTTCAAACCCTCTGAACAATGCCCAAAATAAACACGAAGCAAAACTTTAGTGGAGCTGTCCATATCTGTATCATTCCAACGTGACCTTGTTTGTACTGTAAAAAAATGCTTTATCTCAACACAAACCACATTCACAGCTATCCTGCAGTCATGTGGGAATGCCCAAAGCACTTTTGTCCCGATTTTTGCCCAAATGCACCTGCAGTATTGATTAAAAGCTGGATCTGGTGGAAAAGAGAGAGTGAGAGGGAGACAGATGGAGATAGAATACTAGAGAGCCTACTAGTCCCCACAGACCCGCCTGTGTTTTTAATAATCACTCTCTTTTCTCCACCTGAGAGTGCAGAGCCACTGTGTAGCCTATTTATAGGCGGGAACCAGCAGGCAGGGAGGCAGAGCAGCACACATGCTCTGTTGTTCATAATGTGGTCACAAGATGATGGGGTGCCTGGAGGGGGAGGGGGCTTAATGAGGAAAACTGTGAATTTCACATCTAGTGCAAGCTACATTAAATAATGAAACATTTGAAAGGTTGAACAGAGGTTAGTTTGCTCATCTAATGGCCAAATTATGGCTCTTATTTAGCTTGGTTATGGTTTACTTATTATTTATTTTGGTCTCTACGTTTGTATTAATGACACTTAATTTTCACATATTTGGGTCATTAATTTCTTATGAAATTCACAGCATGTAACATTTTGTAAGTTAATGTACCTCACAATACAAGTAGATACTACAAAACAGCACAATATATTAGTATAAATTCATTACATTTAAAATACAGATTATAAAGAGACAGTCTGGCTACTTGGATTCATTGTTAAAAACTGTATATAAAAGATGTGTGTCACAGACTGCTGTTTTTGAGCCTCAGCTTAGAGATTTCACCCGTAGGTGAAGCTTAGCATTTGGAGTTAAGAGATGCATTGGACACAGAATAATAAAACTTGATAATGTAATGCTATCAGAAAAATTCTTACTGTGGGATTCAACCACAGGGGAAGCTACTAACAGTCTTCTATGCAATCTAAAATTCATTTTGAAGCCAGTGAAGTCTATCCTCACTGGCCCTCAGAGAGAGTGCAGGTTAAAGACCCTTCTACAATAATCAACAGTTATTTGGGTCACCTTTCATACAGTCTATGTACATGAGTCGATGATGTCAATGTGTTGTTTTGTTTTTAAGCAGACACATAATATAAGTTGGCTGGTATTCAATTCAATTTTATTGATACAGCACCAAATCAAAACAAGGCGCTTTATATTGTAAGGTAGACCCTAGAATAATACAACAGATATATCACTTTAAGGTCTGTGAGGTTTACAGGAGTACCAGCAGGAGACCTGGCAGTGCTGGAACAGCTTTGCTCTTGTGTAAACAACAGTGACAAGCTTGCACACACAAAGTCACACAGCCAGTAGGCTGACATAGCATTTATCAGACCCTCTGCTCTCTTATACTTTAAGCCTTCTTGGATATATAGGATTCATCTTTTCAACAACATTAATTTATCACCTTGAGTTGGCTCAGTTGTCACAGAGATGGAGCTGTTTTCAGGTTTGCACTTCTTACTCAGAACTTTAAGCAAACACTGAAGAAAGGTGCAAACGATTACTGAGCTCACATTTCAGCATATCTGTCACCAAGACAACCGAGCAATCTGCCCACGGAGCAAGATCATGTCATGTGTGTCGAGTGGACTTTGACTTTTTCAAACCCCTGTAGGTTTATTTACAAATTTGAAGTTACATAACATGCGACCACCTTACATTTGAGCGAAGGAATCATCACTTTGGTCCTTTAGCATTATTTTAGAGGCATCTTTCTGTCCTTTTTAAATCTCCCGTTCTTTCTCCAAACGATTTTATTGCTTTTTAAAAGTCTCACTCTCTAACATTTCAGTTGGTAGCGGCTAGCTTTAGCTTTGACATACACCTTAGCTATAATGATATTAAGATAAGATAAGAGGATAAGATAAAACTTTATTAATCCCTCGGGTGGGTTCCTCTGGGAAATTCGGTATCCAAAAGCACAGCACCGACAGAAGTTACAGAGTTACAGAATATTTATACACACACACACACACACACACACACACACACACACACACACACACACACACACACACACACACACACACACACATATAAATACAGAGACATATAATATGAATAAAATATACGAAGGGGATAAATAGGAATAAAAATAAAAATACAAGTGAATTGCACATTTCAAGTATTGAGTCTATTGCACTTGACTATTAACAAAAGGTATTGCACAGTGAGGTGAAGAGGCACTACAGCTTAGTTGTTCCCCCCTCCTTTGTCCTCCTGTTTCCCCTCCCTCTCCCCTCCAGAGAGGAGTTAAACAGTTTGATGGCGTGTGGGACAAAGGAGTTTTTAAGTCTGTTAGTTCTTGTCTTGGGGAGAAGCAACCTGTCACTGAACAGACTCTTCTGGTTGTTAATGGCCGTGTGCAGAGGATGCCCAGCATTGTTCATAATGTCCAGCAGTTTTTTAGTGTCCTTTTCTCTGCCACTGTCACCAGAGTGTCCAGCTTCATGCCGACCACAGAGCTAGCCTTCCTGATCAGTTTCTCCAGCCTGGATGAGTCCTTCTTTGCTGTGCTGCTCCCCCAGCACACCACAGCATAGAAAAGTACTCCAGCAACCACCGACTGGTAAAACATCCTCAGGAGCTTCCTGCAGATGTTAAAAGACCTCAGCCTCCTGAGGAAGTACAGTCGGCTTTGGGCTTTTTTATACAGGTGCTCTGTGTTGCATGACCAGTCCAGTTTATTGTCCACCCACAGCCCGAGGTACTTGTACTTGTTGACCACCTCCACCTCCTCCCCCCTATATCTGAACCGGCAGTGGACCTTCTCTGGACCTCCCGAAGTCCACAACCAGTTCCTTATTCTTTGAGGTGTTGAGTTGCAGGTGGTTTGTGTGATTCTAATATTTTTTTTTTTAAAAAGTCACATGAGAAACATCTTTAAATACTCATTTTAGCAAATATTGAATCATACTGATAATCAGATTGATTTCTCGTGGTCTCATGGCTTTTTTCACATTACTTCGAGTACATAATATAATATTTAGTACTGCATTTTTCAGTTTTATCGAATATTTTTTCTGATGCTGGTGATTTTTAAATGAAGCTGTTTAACCTTAAATTGAACGGTGCTGTAATTATCTTGGCGTCATCGTGACACGCACCCCGGCGGTCAGACTTTGTCATTCTCATCTCCACGGTGACAAAGAGCTGCATGGAAAAAACTACCAGAGTCAGAGAGAGTTGTTTAGGGACAGAGGTCATGCTATCTTCTTACCCAGAGGAGCGTTTCTCCTCTGGGGGAGAGACGGGACACTGACAGCCCTGCTGCTATAAGGGCAACAGAGAGGGGGATTTTACATAATAGCATCTCATTGTATAAAGTATAGGATGCTTCTCAAGGAGAATACAAAATGTGATGCTGAAGAAGTCATGTTGAGAAGTAGATTTTGTGTGTATGTAAAAAAGGTAAATAAGGCTGTTGGTAAAAGTAGTTAAAATACAGTTATAAATACAGTGACATCTATAAATATTTTGTGATCAGCCTGAAAATGATGGATTTGTACTGTATTTGTCTAAAAATAAGATTGACTAATAATTAATCTGACACTTGAAGGCTTCTTCATATTTTAACAGTATGTTTTTACTCGTAATGTGAGAGCAATGACTTTGAGATGATGCAACAGACTTGTGTTCTGTATGATCGAATATACCAAGTTTCACTTTCTGCCCTTCGTTTGAAGCCTCTTACTCTCGCGCAGTGCAAGAAGTGGCTTCCACAGAGTGTGATAACTCATCACAGAGCACGCGAAGCTTCAATTTGGTTTGGCCAGAGCTCCCGATTTATCAGTATCTCCTTCAGCAGCGCTCTTTTCGTATCAGCGCTGCGTTACATCTTGCTGTGCTCGCTGTCAATCACCCAGCGCTCTCAGAAAATAGAGGAAGAAAGGCAAGTCTCTCAGAAAAGAAACCATCGAGAACACCCTGCCTTTTACTCTTTATTGTTGCATACATATCTTCTCCTTTTAAACCTCTTAACTGGAACAGCAGTATGTTTCAATGACATTTTCCTTAAAGGTCTGATTATACTGGATTTTATCTGCTGCGGGGAGGGTGTGTGTGTCTGCTTTAGCAAAAGATATGAGTATCATGCTGTGACATCTGCTGCAACACTCTGACTATTCCTCTTGAGGCAAGTTGGATGCCAGTTATATGTGTGTGTGCGTGTGTGCTCATCTACTATTAAAAGAGTGACACAGATAATCTCCTGACATGGCCACTTTTTGTGTTTGAACAGCTCAGTGTTTATCTTTATGTTGTTTTTTATGGCAGCCCACATCTCCCTCCATTTATGCTGATGATTAACTAACCATTTGTCACGATGACGATTTTTGCCTTGTTTAGCTCACGTGACGACATCAATCTGTCTTCAAGTGTCCTTATATTTTTTAAAACGAATGTTTTTAAACAGCACATTGAGATGAGCTGGCAATAGATGGCATGTCAGTATAACTAAGTGTATTTTTTTTTTGTTTTATCACAGGTTTCAGCTGATTGAAGACCTGTCCTATGAAGATTTGAAGAAGTGTTACAGGGGCTCGGTGAGTCTGATCTCTTCTTTTTGCTCCTAACTGTGTCCGTGACTCAAGTCCAGTTAATTGTATTTTACTTTAAATACTCAATAAAAGTGGAACATCCTTTAAAACATTATTTTCTTTCTCTGTACTGCTAAATTAAATCTGAAAGCAGATAAATGCGCTCAGTCATTGAATCCTTTTTATTTCCTGTGGTTAAGATGATAAAGTTGAGAAACATTTGGACTCCTTCATTTTACGTTTGTACCAGATTCTTGCCCCATTAAAAGAGAATTTACAGCACCGTTGTCATCAGTGAGTAGAAATAATACAACCGCACCACAAACTAAACCCCATAATACCATTTGAACTACAAATTTGTCAACAAATCATCCCCCAGTAATGGTTGCAGCTTTCACGCAGTGGCATTTGAGCCCTCTGAATTACTGTAACCTACTGGAAGCTCCATAGTCCTGACGACAGGAGCTGCTCTAGCGTGAGCTATTAATAGAAAGACAAAAACAGGAGCAGCAGATAATAACAAACAGAGCACCTACGAGTTGAAGGAAAGATAGATGAGCTACAACGGGACACAAAAAAAGAAGAAACTTAATCTTGTGCTGGAGATAGCTAGAGGTGGAAGTGAGTCGAGCTGCGAGAGAGGAGGGTGGGGAATGAATGAGCTCTGTTGTGCATTCGGGGGAGGAAAATGGATGGGGGGTTTTTTTTTGAACAAGGGAAGAATTTTAGGTGCGAGACACTGACACTACAGACGAGATGCTGACAGAGGAGAAGAGGAAAGGTAAAGGCGGAAAAAGAGCAGACTTCAAGTGAGAGCAGTGAGGAGTACCAGTGTTTTTTTATAGATGAGGGCAGAGTGTGTGTATGTGTGTAAAGGAGAAGAGGGAGGGTGTCAGCTGGGTGCTGTAAAGTGTAGTGTCACTGGTGTATCTGAGGAAGAGAAAGACAACCTTGTAGTTGTGAAAGAGCTCAGTGGCTGTAAAAACCGAGGCGTCTGCAGCGCGTGTGTGTTGTGTGTGTGTAGGTCCGCACATTAGAGCCACGTGTGTGTTTGTAGGACGTGTTGACTAGAGGTAGTTGCACAGAGGCAGTCCTCTGTCACAGTACTGACCGACGACAGGGGAACAGTGTGTGTCTTGCAGCAGCTTGCTCCAGGCCTTGGATGTTCGCGAGTGTGTGTGTGAGTATGGTGCCAACGTGCTGAGCCTGGTGCAGAACTCGCGTCCTTTGAGGGAGAGGGTGGCGTCTGCGCCGAGCGGAGCCGGAGTGGCCGGTGGCGGCGGTGGTTCCGGTGCTGTGCAGGCAGGCCGGTCCGCCAAGGAGCTGCTCATGACTCTGCCCTGTCCCTCTGCACAGACTGTCAGCAAGTACAACTCGCAGTACCACAAACTGTTCCAGTGCGTGCCCAAGGATGAGATCCTCATGAAAGGTACTGTGTTTTTTACTCTGTTTGGCTCAAGCTGCTCATCTATAGTAACTGAAGTGAGTCAGTGAAGCAATCATCAGAATGAAAAAGATTAGTTTAATTGGTGGCTGTTATCACGTAAATGAATTAGAAATAAAATGTTTGGCGACCTTGAAGTTGCAACGAATGAGTCATTACGTGTTATTCATTAAAAAGGTAACTTAATCCATTTTATATTGTTCTTTTCTTTTATGTAACTCAACCTCGGGCTTTTCAGGTGCCTTTAAACATCTCCAACTCCTCCCTAACCACACCTTTAATCTTTTGTATATCGGGTAGAAAATAAGAAAATAGAAAATAAGATGTTTAGCGAGACGTAGCCGTACAGTTTGAAGGGATTTACTGACCGCCCAGCAGTCACGGCGTAGCCTCGGTGGCTTCACACGCCTCTGCTCAGTCCTGACCAGAGCTGCAGCTTCACCCATCCGTCACCTCACAAACTAGAGCTGCATCAGAAGTCACTCATCCGTTCTTTCATTCATAGCTCCCTCTACTGAAACTCGATAGTGAGAATTAAATGGAGCTTCTTCTTTTTTTTTGCATTGTGTTTTTGTTGCCAGACATTAATGCGCATGCAGAGGGCGTGTACTTTACTTTTCAGGTTTTTAAGTAAAAATATTTTTAGCAGAACTATTTTTTTTACTACTAAGCTTTTTAAGGTTTTCTTCATCAAGTGTTACTGTTGTTAGAAGAGCTTTTGTCTCTTCTATCCTCAGTGTACTCCTGCGCTCTTCTTAGAGATATCCTCCTACAAGGCCGGCTATACATTTCCAGAAACTGGCTGTGTTTCTATGCCAACCTCTTCGGCAAGGACATCAAGGTACGAATGACTGGCAGACAGCTTAATAAATTTAAACCGACTGAGAAACTTGAACCGGGTTACTCCCTGTCAGAGTCTGACAAGCGGATCTGAAAAACTTACAAACTGATTGGACAAATTATTTGTCTGAAAGTCAGTCAGGCTTACAGACTGAGGTGAAGTTTCACAGTCTTCTATAAAATACCTCTGCCTGTCTGTATGTGCGGTGAATTTATATACGAGGACCAGTTAGACTTACTGAACCTTTAACCTTAATCAGCTATGTTATTCTCTCTTTGATGTTGTGCAGTGTACCTTTTCCTTCATTTCCTTGAAACCAAACCTCTCGTAACATTTCAGTGACAATAAGCTACTTATTCAGACTGCATTCCTCACATTCTGACTGAAATAAGACACGCTTCGTGTCCACTTTGAGCTTTCTCTGAGGGCTTTTCCTCGATGGATATTAGCTCTAACTTCCCTGCTACCATCTACTGAAATCACAAGGGTGTTATTTCCTTATCACCCCTGCTTTAAAAATCTATTTTTTTCCTTAGGTGGCCATCCCTGTCGTTTCTGTGAGGCTGGTGAAGAAGCACAAAACAGCAGGCCTCGTACCCAATGGCTTGGCTATCACCACAGACACCGGCCAGAAGGTAAACATTACAGTCACCATAAACTGAAATGCTCATGCTGATTAGCTCAGCAAGGGCGTTTTTTCCACTGAAGCTGAGATGGAAAAAAATAGAACGGTGCTATAGTTAGAAGCAGAGTGAAGTCCCAGCTTGCTAACACAAGAGAGCGAAAGGTTTTTCCACCATTACAGCAATGTTAAGATGAGCCTCTTAACTTCCTGTCACACCAGATTTAACCTCTCATCAGGTGGTGCTTTCAAGGACAATTTGCACCTTTCAGCTCTTGCCCTGGCCCCAACAATGCGTGAATAATAATAGCTACATTAGCATCTAGTTAAATCTGGGTAATTCATCTTCAACTGCCAATTAGTACTGCGCAAAAAAAAAGACCTATAAACACACTGAAGTCAGTGTGGCCCAGAGGGTGAAAAATGTTTTAATGAATTGTTCCACCAAATTAATTATTTGTGTGCACCGCGCATCGTGCTGAGGGAGAGAAGAGGGGCAAATTAACTCATTTTTAAAAGCATGATTTGCTCACTCGAAAAGAATGATAAAAAAAAATGGTGAACGCAAAAAATTTAAAGTTGTGATTCATAAAAAACCCACAGAAGTGGCAGCACTCTAGTAATTTACAACTGAACTCTATCATGTTGCCCTATATTTATAGAGTAATGTGGTCAAACATTAACTGTGCTGCGTTACATATAAACTACATATCAAGGTTAGAAATACTGTCAGCTGACAAGATAGAACGGAGATCGTTGTTTTCATTGTTGTCCTGTTTTAAAATGTTCTGCTATAAACCTAAATAGATAAAGACAGAGACAGATGTTTTGTTTGTTTGTTTGTTTTACAAGGAAATATTTTACTGAATATTCTTTCTAATTGGAGCAGACATATGTCCGCACACATATAGACAAAAGAGCAGCTTCCTCAGCATTATGAGAATCAAAAAGGTTAAAGCCATTCTGTCATTATACGACCTATATAATGCACCAAATCACAGAAGTATTCATTAAATATTCTAACAATGGATCTTCCCACTGTAAAAATCTACCTACCAGGATATACAACCTCTGTCTTTACCTTCAGTTTCTTTCATTCTTTCTTTATTTCTCCTTACACTAACTCAGCTGATCAAATATATGTTTACATTCTTTGCGTGCTAAAATCCATTCCTACCAACTAAATGACCTCAGAAGATAAATCGTTGTTATATTTACATCACGTAGTGTGACTCACCGGACAGCACGTTAGTTTATAGCATCATCTTATTTAAGGAATTAAAGACACGCCTCTGTTGAAGCATGTGACAGACATAACATAATTAGTCGTGACTGTTTATCATCTTAAAAGCGACTGATAACGCACGCACGCACAGTGATTCAAATTTCCATCCAGGTCAAAGGAATATTGGTACGTGAGCCAAAATGAGATCAGAAAAGTCCAGGTGACTTTTAACAGATTTTTTTCAATTCAGTAAAATCAGAATCGAAATATTTTTATGCTTGTCTGCAGCCATAAATGTACTGCATGCGGACTAACATCATAAGCATTAGTGTTATGGGGGAGGCAGGGGGAATGTGAAACAGAAATAATCTCTTATCTAAACTGAGGGTCTTCTCAAAATTGTAAATAGAAACCTTAACTGGCTGCATGGGTATACGCTGCTGTGTTGTTCTCAGGTGTTTACTGCACAGTAAAAATTATAATGATAAAGTTAACTGAATGTTTATTTCCCTGTTTCTCTTTTTTATGTTCTCAGTATGTATTTGTGTCTCTGCTATCAAGAGACAGTGTATATGACGTCCTCCGCAGGATCTGCACACACCTGCAGGTGACAGATGGAGGACACACACACACACATAAAGAGCTACACTGCTAATTTAATTTGTCGTGGTGTACATGTTAGTTACAGAAGTGATCTGCTTTTCCTCTTCAGGTCAATGGGAAGAGTCTGAGCTTGAAGCAGTTCATGGAGGAGCCAACCTTATCCCTGGTCAGTGAGGACATGTCTTCCGCTGAGAGAAACCACTTAAAAAAAAACTGTTAAAAATCTTAAAACTGTAAAAATTAAAGCAAGTGTACCCCTGAAGTAGCTTGAAACACTGATCAGAGGGCTGACTAACCTTCCTACACAGACAGGATCAATACATCATTTTGTTGCAGCTGCAGCCTCACAGTGCATTATTCCCCGAGTCTGCAAGATGCTATCAAAGAGCTCTCTGAAGTCACCTTGTGTGTTTGTGTGCATGAACACACACACACACACCACAGGTTACACTGCGACAGAACAGCTTTTGCATGAAGGAGTAATTAAGTTGTGTTAACGTACTTGTCCTTGATCATACTCTAACCTGGACTGATAATAATCATGGAAACAGGGTGTTTGATTATCATGTCATCATACTAAGGCAAAAGTGAAACATCCAAGAGCTTTTAAAAGTTTATACCTGCATTATTACCAAAACAAAATTATTTACACCCAGATTTCTTTCCCTTGCAACCTTACAGGCTTTGATCTAATTTAAGGCTTTTTACTTTCAAAGAGGCTTTACTATTAATAATATAATAACCATTTATTTAAAACCAGACGTGTGCTGACAGCTCATGTGTTGATCTGTTGTTCTCTTCCTCCTGTGCCACAGGATGACTTCCCAGCACCAGACGTGTTCCCAGTGGTTGATGAATTCCCATCAGTGTTAAAGTGGAGAAGGAAACCCTCGGTCGTGTCTGTGTCCTCCTCCCTCCCCGACCTCCTGGGGAACTCAACCAGCAGCCTGAGTGCCACGGACACACCCTTCAAATCAGAGCAGCAACTCGAAGGTGATAAAACTAGATAATGATGCAGCGTTACATCATAGATACAAAGGTCAAGGCTTCACGCAAGGCCACGTAATCGCAGGGGCTTGTGAGTTTTGACTAATTGAGTTTTATGACGCAAAAAGAGGGAAGTAATCTCACAAGCGGGTTTTCAGTCTCCGTTTAAAAATAATAAATTATCTTTCTGTATAACACGTCCCAGTGGTAAAAGTACAGATTTTCACAGGAGTGCAGCATGGAAAGAAAATCTACTCCCAGCAGGGCAGTGGAATAAAGTGCCTGCATTATGCACTCTAAGAGTGAGTATTGCATTGTATCTTTATTTTAAACATTTTTAATTTGGGGGGAGTATAAAAATTTTAAGATGTAAGGAGGTGTTAATCTGTGAGGTTTAAGGGTAGGAGGAAGTCATTTTTAGTATGAGGTAAATTAACTTTGGAGAGACTGAAGACATGTTGTTACTATGTGTTTTCTAAATGTCATTGATTTAGTAGAAGAAGACTAATCGATTAAACATTAATAGACACTGCTCAAAAAAATGAAAGCAACACTTTGAAAACATATCAGATCTCGATGGGGGAAAAGAAGCTTCATGCTGGATATCTATAAAGATGGACTGGATTGTTTGATGGGAATGAAAATGATCAGCCTATGGACGGCTGAATTCAAATATAACCCAAAAATCAAAGTGGAAAAAAATGTTGAAATTGATCTTGGATCTGGACCCGGGCATCACTGAGTTCCTGGACAGTCTGAGGTGCAACCTGGACAGAAACACAATGCCCCCAAGGTGCTTTATTGGATTTAGGCTTCCAAGAGTGGAAGCCAGTCAGCGTTATCAATTCCTGCATCCTCTTGCCAGGAGGAACCCAGGACCCACTGCACCAGTGTAAGGTCTGACAGTGGGTCTAAGGATTTCATGCGATACCTAATGGCAGTCAGGTTGCCGTTGTCTGGCCAGTAGAAATCTGTGTGTCCCTTCATGGATATGCCTCCCCAGACCATCACTGACCCACCACCAATCAGTCATCCTGAACCATGTTACCATGTTTGCCAAATGCAAAACTAATGAAAAAACAGTCAGAAAAGATGAGTAGGGAAAAGAATCAATAAATATCCCAGAAGTTCGATTAAATTGATGCTATACTCTTATTAAATTGTTTGTTTTTGAGCAACACTTATTTGCTGTTTAACATGTTTATTGTTAGTTGAATGCTGTGCAGACAGAACATGTGTGTGAGGGGGGGCATTGAGAGAATAATTGCTTTTGGATTGCAACGTTCCTCTTATGCAACAACACATTAAGCCTCAAATGGAGATTGAATCATTTGAGGGGCTTGTATTAAAAAGCTTTGGGCGGGTGCAGATTAAGTAGAGATTATGACGAGCAATGTCTGCCGTCCAAGTTGTGTGAGGACAGCTTCCGCGTTATCTGCTGAATATCGTTTCTGCATACTCTCCTCCAATAATGCTGCTCTCTATTAAATGTCAGATCAGCGTGAGCTTTTGTGTACGTTATTGTCACAGCTCGTCTGTGGAGTGGAAAGCTGGGATGTAAGTCAACACCTATATTACAATTGTTTTATCTCACTACAAAAACACACCACAGTGTAAAGAAGAAGAATGCACATGTCAGCCACCGTGTAATAATAACAGAGCAGTATGGAGGCTGTGGTTCTGTATGACACAGACTGTTTGCACTGTTTACAGTGAATGAAGAAAAAGGTAGAAACAGAATTAGAGTATCTATTTATGACTCCTCAACTCTGGATATCGTTTTCAGGGAATATATGAAAGCACTGTAATTGCATATGAGTGGTAGACAGGCAGCAATATTTAAAGGGGACTATGTGGTACAGTCAACCACTATTAATGGTTTTATTATACTGTGTGTGTGTGTGTGTGTTACAGAGCGAGCTCTGCAGACAGACAGAGGTCTTTTATCTGAGCCAGTGGCAGAGTTGGGCCAGATGGAGTACCAGCTGCTCAAGTTCTTCACCCTGCTGTGAGTATACTGAGGAACATACAGACACCAACAACACCACCTTCATCTCCTCCAGGAGCTGACTCACAGCTACACACACACACACTAATGCAGAAATATAAATAGTGGATGATTGACTCATAGTGAACACAGGGGGTCAGAGCTGATAAAACACCTTTTATTTTGTGTTTTTTCCACACAACAAGTTTCCTCCCATGAAACTTTTCTAAGATTTGTCTCTTATATAAATAAATCATTTATCTTTAGGACATTATGTGCTCCTTCCTCCACCTGGGAGACTGTGCATTATCCAGAAAGCATTAGGTCAATCTGCTAGCTGTTTATTATGTTGCTGACCCCTGTCCCCTGTCTGAATAAGAGGAAGAGACTAATCTCTCTGCGATATAACAGACTTATTCAGAAGTAGATAAATAGGTAAATCATCATGTTATTATCACTATGTAATAATGCAGAGTATATTTTAAAAACTACAGCTAAGTTATATTATATAAAAGTCCCAACATTTCATTTTTTTATTATTATTATTATTATCATTATTATTATTATTGTACATGATTTGTTACAGAATCAGTTCTTACTCTTCTTTAGGCTGAGTTGTTGCAGGACAGTGTAGCCAAATGCCGCCACCCAGTGTTCATCAAAAGCCATTACAGCCCTCATACTTTGTTACAAGACTCATTACTATCAGCAAAGATGACATACACTTTTAATTAGACCAACGGGTGCATCTTTTCTTCTGTCTTCAGTATTATTCTCCTCATCTTGTCATCGTGCTACTTGGCCTTCCGTGTGTGCAGTCTGGAGCAGCAGCTGTCTTTCCTTGGTAACCCAAATCTACCCCTGAGAGAAAGGTAAGTAACGTGGTGTCAGTGGCATCATCAGTGATTTAAATAATGTTAAACTGTGTAATATGGGTGCTGGTATGGCTCACCTGGTTAAATTTGCAACCACACTGCAGAGGACTGGGTTTAGCCCGACCTGTTATTCCCTGTTGCTCTATCCCTGCTGTTCTGTCTACGATTACAAACAAAAATAAAGGATAAAAAAGTATAATCTGAATAATTATAACTGGAATTTGCAGAAATAAATAAAAAATATCAGCAATATTATTAAGTTATGATTATTATATTGTATTATTTTATGATATTCTTGTATTTTGTTAATTCTGTTTAGCAGGAACAGTACTGATTAATGCTGTGCAGTACTGCTGTATGTGGGAGCAGGTGTAAAGACTGATAAATAACAGCACATTTCTGGTGTCGGAGTCCACTACCAGGCTGCTTTCTCCTCATCTAGATAACCAACCGCTGTCTGCTGTGAGCCTCCAGACTGGCTGCTGTTTGCTCTCCTCCCGCCTCAGAGTCGACGATGCCCTTCTGCACAGATCCAGGACCTGCTTAGAGCCCAGAACAGACCAACCTCCGCACCAGCTGCACCGTGCAAAGGTGCAACAACAACCCAACTCCGGGCTCCTTATGGACTTTCCCACCGGGGAACGAGTTCCCAATCAGTGATCACTTCCAGACTATGCAAACAGACTGTCTATTTTTTTCTAAATATAAAGTAGCTTTTTACTTTAGATTATGATTGTCTCCCAGGATCTGTCCCTCTCTCCGACATTTCATCTTTAACCTGGTGATGCCTCAGTTTAAGGCGATCCTGAAATAGTGAGTAGATTACTGTTGAATCTGCTGTTTGTGGCACTCATCTTTTTTTTTTAGTAGCTGAGCGATAATTCAACACATTAATTACTTGAAAAAAGACTGAGAATGAAGACGTCAGGCACGTTATGGGTGTAGCTTGCACATCTCACCATACTGTGACTGACAAAAACTGGACTGAACCAGATGTATTCTTCTTATTTAACCTCATTTTAAAGGATAAAACTAGTTACCACTATGCACTTTCTCTTAGTACAGGTCCACATGATTTCAGACGTATGTGACTATTTGAATCATTTTTCATGATATTTATGAAAAAAGGTAATGTTGCAAGCACAGACTGTTGACTGAATGAAGTTATACGTCATATAATTTGATAAAGTGGACACATCCCTTGTGGGTGTTAACTGTAATGTGAATGGGACGATTAGATGACATGCATCTCCTTTGTTTTTCATTGTATCACTAGTCAGCTGTGTGGCAGGTGTTCCCCAGGTTCTTTTATACGTTTCAAATGAAGAGTTAAGACTTAAAATAACACTGATGTGTCATATTGTTGGCTGATGATGAGTTTTCAGACATGTGACATGTAGCCCTCAAGTCCTATTTTGTGAAATCCCTGTGAATTAAATTGGAAAACAGTGTAAATAAGCAAAAGAGAGAGAAAAAGTCTGTGGCTTTTACTTGTTTTCCCGTCAATTTGGGTGCCAAGACTTTTACTGTCTGGTTTTCCATGCTGTCATATTGGCACTGCATACACGACCACAAAAAGGCTGGACTCCAAGACCACTGCAAATTTCAGTAACCTCCACAGCTCAGGCTAAATTATAAAACTGGCCCACGATGTTGGCAGAAGCACTCGGCGCTTAATAAATTACATACGGTACGTTGGCCGAACATCACTGGCACGGGTTTTCTTTCTGATGAAATCAGTTTAAATGTAATAAATTGTCACCGTTTTTCATGCGCTGAAAATGTCTACTTTGTAACATTTTAACTATGAAAAACAACCATGACTTTAGAAAGGAATACATGCCACATAGACATCCTCACTGAAAATCACGTGGTGCTCAATAAACTCAAGAAAGAGGTTTCTCATCCCGCACAGGAACCGTATGACCTTAGGGATGACGTGGGGCTCGATTCAGCTTTTAACTAAACCCAGAGCCAAACAGCAATGCGACAAATGTGTTGTTGATTAATGACGTGGAGTCCTCGTTACATGTTACCCTGAGGGTAAAGATTTGCTTATTTAAATACAAATATTCACTAAAGCTAGTCTGAGGAAGCAGAAAATCACAGGTGAGTAATTCAATTAGATTAAATTAATAAAAACAAAAACAGATAATAGATCTGCTTCTCTGGAGGAGCGCATTAAATGACAAATTCATCCATACAACAATCGGAGGGTTGGAGTCGATCCCAGGCAGTCCATTAAACTGAACCCTCGCATTCACACCTACAGTCGGTGATATCCAAGATTCCTGCCTTTGGATTGTGGGAGGAAGCTGGAGCTCTGGAACAAACCCACAAACATGCATGGAGAACAAACTCCGCACGGAAACGTTCCAGTCGACTCGAGAAGCTTCTTGCTGTGAGGTGACGTCCAAACCACTGCAGCATCGTTCAGTTTGATTTCAAAGGCCATCTGCAGCCCAGACTGTCCTCTTAATGAGTCAGATCACAGTGCCCACAGAGTCGTACAGACATAATAAAAACATGTCAGTTGAATTGAGAAAAGTGAATAAGAGGGACTCGTTGCCAACGGGACTAATTGACCTTGTTGTACACTCAGAATATAGTTAATATTTAAACCCAGCAAAAACTACAGACCTCCTGCACACTGCTTTATGCACATGTCCCTCCTTAACAGCCTCACATTTGAAATTATGAATACTTGAACGCTGCAGTCGATGCTATTTTGTTTGTTGGTGCTGTTGTGGGTTTATACAGATCATAGACTGTATATAAAAGAAGGACGGATCCATGCCTCCAGACCAACTTTTGCCTCTGTAAGTAATATGAAGTTCATAGTAGGCAACAAGAGGCATCCTTCATCAATCATTTGTAATAGCACATTTAACAGGCTAATCATCAACATGTGTGTGTGTGTGTGTGTGTGTTACAGAGCAAGCTGTCGGTTTGAATTTTAAATAAAATCTCATGTTACTGCTCAAAGATGTGCATATGTGATTTAGGCAGAATTAGCAGAACTTTATCACAAGAAACTACACTGACATCTAGTGAACAAACAGAACGGAGCCCTAAACTCCACTCAGTGTCTGAAATTAAATACAGCCGCTCAGCAAAGAGTGAAAGCAGCATGAATTATTCAGTGCAAAACTCTTACTGATTTCATTTGGCGGACAACGTCTGTATTGACTCATTTTTGCTCCAGAATCACCCAAGAGTCAGTATAAATCACGGTAGAGCAAAATTCTCCCTGTCTTATAATGACAGTTTTCTGTAATATGGCTGGCACTCACATTACTGTGCAGTCACATTTCTTTCTGAGTAATTCTGGTGTGTGTCTGTGTTTCATGTAATAAGACCAAACTTAATATCTCAGTTCTTGAAAGTAAGACTGTCCTGTCCTATATTTTTAGTCAGTATATTTACACACCACACATGAAGTTTATGTTTTAATCAAGTAATATCTCAGATTTTTGTATTTAACAAGACTTTTTAAGGATCATAGATGAAAATAAATGTTTAAAAAGGCTGCAAGGCTCACTGTGACAGCTTGAAAAGGCAGATGAAAGTGATGTAACTGAAGGGGTGAAAAATAGAGAAAGACCTTCACAGATTTAGTTAATTACTTTAAAGCATTTTGCCTTCAGGCGAGGCCTCGCCCCAGGTGACGGCAACTACAGCCTAACTTAAAATATACTAGAATTCATGCCATTGAATTACATTTAAAGTTGTCCTGCTGTATGGATCAATGCCATGAACTACCAAAGTGAGCTTGGTATAACATACCTGCTTTGTGCAGCACTCAGTCTTCTGGAGATCTCAAGAGGCACAAAGAGCAGGAGTCGACCACTGTGTCACACCAGTGTGTGTGAGAGTGTGAAGACAGCTGTAGCTGTGGAGTAATGGGGGCAGGTTGAAGCAGATGGCTAGACAAGCTGTAGCTTCATCCATACCTCCAGGGAGCCATATTGTCTGTCCTGAAATGCTCTTCTGTTGACCTCTGACCTGTGCGGTGTGAAGGAGCGGGCTGACTGCGACGTCACGCTGATGTCCTCTGTTACACACGGCAAAATAGTCACATTGCTGGAAGGTTTCCAAGAAAATTACCTCAGTGGAGCATTGAATGCGTCTGTGTCCACTGAAAGCACAAGTCTGTTACAGCTGCTATTTATGAAGTGAGAGGTGCTATATTTTAACTCCAAGACACCACAAATATTTCTTCTCCTCTCCTGGTACGAAATCTCTATGCAGCAGATAATTACAAGAGGCATACATCTTATCAAAACAATCTACAGTGAAACAATAAAATTATCTAGCTTGACAATTTTCTTTGAAATGTTGTGCAAATGGTCTGCAAATAATGTAAAAAGTCTGCTAGGAAATTGCAGTGGAGGGAAATATTTACTCATGGTTGCATGGCTAGAGTTAAGCCTTATGTAAAATGCTTATTTACAAGTTTTTTTTTGTGGATTTAGAGCTCTACTTGAGAGCCTAAAATCAGTGCTTCCTCTGTGCCACAACATTTCATAGAGGTGTATTGGAAAACCTCTGATTAAAGCTTCCCTGCCAGTAAGCTACATGATAAACTATGTTTTGATTAAATGAGGTTGGCTGAGACCAAAGACACGCCTCTATGCTCTCAAACAGTTGGATAGCTTCACTATATTTATATATATGTATATGTATATTTTGATTGAGTGCTAAATATTCACACCCAGCAGCACAGCCAAGTCAGACTATAGATAGATAGATAGATAGATAGATAGATAGATAGATAGATAGATAGATAGATAGATAGATAGATAGATAGATAGATAGATAGATAGATAGATA